CTTTGGCTATAATTACCAGCCAACATTTTCCGGATTTTAAAACCACGAAATAAATAGGAAATTTTAATTGATTTATAGCACATTAAAAAAGAATTATGCTTGTTAAAAAATTTCACAACATAAATAGGACTTATTTATAAAAGGAAAGCATTTAAATTTGAAAGGTTTCGATTGCAGGAATAAATTTAAATATTTTATTATTATTGAAATATTCACTTAATCAAACATTTCTTTATTAATGAGATTTTAGCAATTAGCTTGCGTTAAAAGTGCCACCAAAATGCTAAGCATCGGTTTGTAGCCAACACAAATACGAGTATATTTGCCTATCGTTCCATTTGCCTACTGCCGATATTTGCCTACATTCAATATTGTCCCAAAAATGATATTTGACTACATTCAATATTGTCCTACAAATGTTTTACGGCTGCTAGAAATAATATTTGTCAAAGCGTCGAAGAAATACCTAAGAACTCGTATGATATAATCGTCCAAACATTCGTTTCAATTATTCCCACAAGAATATGATTAAGTTTTATGCGATAAAAATAACAAAAAGCAATATTTGCCTGTCATACAAATAAAACTATCATAAAACTAAGCTTTATGAGATATTTGCGCACAAACAATGAGTAGATATGCACTGTAACTGATATTTACTTAATTAAGAGCTTTATTTTATGCCAGAGATATTTTTTTATAAGCATAGGTTTGCATAGGTGAAGCGATTGAAGCATCCAAAAGTGATAATTCAAATATATAAAACTACACAAAACAGGCTGCAAAATAATCAATATATTCACTCGCACGGAGTTCAGGCATTGAATAGATTTCCAAACAAAAGAAATAGATACACAAAACACTGAAATTTTAATTGAATGCCAATCTGGATTATAATATCCAATTTATTAATTAAATAGTTGCTAGCAATTCCATTTGCCTTAATAACTGCAGATGTATTTCAGATAGTAAAATAATTGAGGCTTAGCTTAAAATAATCAAACATGAATAGAGGCAATTCAACTAAAATAAACAGAGCATTTAAATGTGAGTTAAGAGCCTTCATTTAATTTGCCAAATATTCCCATTAAATGTCACGTATTTTCTACAATTTGCATCTTTAAGTGAGATTGCGTGTATCTTTCAACGGCAACAAGCACACCATTTGGCGCTGCTACATGTGGCACGCGTACACATTTCCGAAATTAGTGTTGGGCGCACATGTCGTATGATTAACATTTAATATCACATATTGTCGTTCCACATTGTTGGTTTTTCTGCATAGGAAAATCAACCCAGTACTCTACCCCCCCAGCCCAGTTTCCACACCACTCTCCACTCAATTACGTTCCATTGAATGACATTTTGAAATGGCATTAATGTTTATTAATAATTATGCAATTTAATAGTCACTAAACACACGAGTGTGCCACTCACTGGGCAACCAATGAACCCGAGAACCCCGCTTCGCCCCGTGCGCATGTGGCATCAAATTGAATGAAAATAGATGATAATTTCAATGGTTTTATGCATGAATGGTTTTATCTACATATATAATTTCTATATAAAAAAATAATTGAATTAACTTGTTCATTCGTTTGGGTTTTATAGAAATTTGTCGAAATTTAAGACCCGTCTAAAATTTATCCAACAAATATTGAAAAGTTTTCTAAATCCCTCAACAGCAGAACAAGCTCTGGCTCATGTTTGGCTTTTTAGCATACTTTTTTTTGGGAGGGTTTCGCCTCTGACAAATTTCCTCCATCCCACACATGTCGCCACACATGTCCTCTCCTCGCCAACCCAACGAGGAATAAACTTTCAATGAGCACTTCCTGAGCCTCGAACACACAGGAAGAGACTTTGAGGATGGAGTTGTGGAACACTTCCTTTTGCTGAAAGACTCGCAGCTTCCTCTTCCGCTGATGTACGTACCCCCCCCTATGTGGGGGTGCTCTACAGTTTTCTATGTTATTTCCCTAATAGAAGCAAGGAGCTTTAGAAAATTTCCGCTCTCTCTTTTTGCGCCCGAAAGTGTTGTCACATTTTCTGCCAGCTTTTCTTGGGCATTTAATTTAGTGTAAGCCTAATTAAATTGCAAAAGACAACATGACAACACAGCTACGTGTAGTCCTTTACTAAGGAGAGAGCGTATCTTTGTGTATCTTTGAGGCTGTATTCCTTCTGCCATAAATAGGAAAAAGGAAAAACGACTAAGTTGTGTGCATTTTTGTGCATGCCTTAATACCCTGTGGAATGCGGTAGAGTAGAAGGGTGTATTGTTTTCATGGAGAAGCTATAAAGCTATATCAAATAAATGATTTATTTTTAGACTTTCAGAAACCGTTGGAGAATGCACCTATTCCTTATACATATTCCTTTTACAAAAAAAAAAACCAATAATGGAGATTCCTTCTACAGAGAATTATCGTTTAAAGGATCCTCCCACAGAAAATCTTCCCACATTGAATCGTCCTGCAATTTTCTTACAGACCACACTCTCCTACAGAAAATAGTTCCATTCCATTTATAAAATTTCCCATCTATTAAGCACACAATTAATATTTTGAAAGGGTATCCCACAGTCACAGCATATATTCTAGCACTCTTTATAGTTAGTTTTGGTGCCGCTCCTACGTGTTTTTGGCGTTGCATGAGCCTTAAATATTTTATGACTTTTCCTCTGCACTCTCTCTCTCTCTTGCTCTCTAGCTTTTTCTGTGGCGCGGGAAAGTGCAATTTTTGAAGGCTGTGCAGCTCGCTGGAGTTGTGTCACAGTTTTCTCCCTAGACTGCTACGCTACTTTTTGTTTTGTTTTTATTTTGGCAGCTGGCATGTTTGGCAGTTGTCCTTTGAGGGGCTACCCCAGCAGTGGCAGAGTTATGTGCATACATAGCTATAAGGATATTGCATATACAAGTTCGTTCGTTCGCTCTCTCCCTCTCGATGTGGATTCCATGTGGAGTATTTGCAACGTGCTGCAGTTATTCAAATAAAGTTTCAACTGCGCTGACAGTTGCTGCTTTTTGGAGGATTTGGGGTGCAGAAAGTATATATTCTACCATATATAACAATTTTTAGCATGTTTAAAGCTAATTTCTATATACATTTTTTTAAATTTTGTTCTAATATTTAAATTATTAAATGCATAATTAAAGTGGATTTCCATGTGACTGTGATTTATGTTTTTTGATGTTAAGTAGAAACAGCTGTCGCATCCTTAATACTCGTATTTTCGCACGTACACACACACACACACACACACACGAAAGGGAACTTCAATCCTCTTTTTCTTGGTGTAAATCTCGGATGAAAATCTTATTATTCAACGTTATTGCTCTTGACCCGCACACGCACACACACACACACACACACACAACCCAACATTCCTTGACTTGCGAGGAGTCCAACCAAACAAATGACTTTGTTTGCTTAGCCTGGCACACGACCCATCATGCCACATGCCACATGCCGCATGCCATACCGTGCCATGCCCGTGCTGTGCTGTGCCACTCGAAAAGTCAAGTGGCTAGCGGCAACTGCCGCTGAGCCGAGATGAGCCCTTCTCTAGGCTAGGCCAGGCCAGGCCAGGCCGGGTCGGGCCTCCCTTTTCTGAATGCCAAGGAGTCTGCGGCGTCGAGCGATTTTTATAAGAAAAATACTCTACGCGAATGAATGAAAATCGCTGCACAATTTAAAAACTTCCGCATCAAGCGGCAACTATAAAAAAAATATTCCAATATAATGTGCGCGCACTCCCCTTCCCCCCCTGTCATCAAGTACCATACATAACGGCGCATGGGTTCCACATTATATTATATTTTTTTGGTCGCTTGTTTCGTTTGCTCTGCTTTCTGTGTTACCCCCTTAAAATGCATTTTATTGTGGATTTTCTGAAGCATTTTCTCTTTTGCAATTTTTGTTTATTTTTGGAATAATTTTCAAAGTTTTTGTAGAGTTTATGGATTTAAAATAAATATGGAATACTCATTTATAAAGTAGGGGTAATGGAGGTCTACCTTAGTCAAATTTTTCACAAGATCTTCAAAAATTGTCCCCAAATGGGAAACTTCCCCCATTTTTTCTTCTTTCTTTGCATTATTTTTGTACTTAAAATAGTTTACTTTATAGAGCAAGAAATCTTCGCCAACATATTTTAGTTTCTTCACCAAATGGTGATCCTCTTTTAAAGGTTTTTTAGGTGCTTTCACAGCTTGTCGCACTAAAACTTATCCAAATTTCACACAGAACGCGCGTTCAACATAGTTTTTACAACCTAGAACCAACTTCAAACTGTACATTTTATCGTCCAGTGGACACATCTGCTAAATGTTAACTGCTTTCGGTGTCAGAGTCTCAGAATGTGTCCTTTGGGGCATCGTTGGTGCAGCAACTGTGCGGGAGAGAGTTTGCAGCAGAATGGAACAAAGAGGAGAACAGGGAGGGACTGGCGATAGAGACAAGCAGAGCACTCATCTTGGAGTCGCTTTTACTTCTTTGCTCCGCTCTTTATGCGCTTTTCTTTTGTTTCCCCCTCCCTTGCCATGTGCTTCCATTGTAGCGCATTAATTTTTGAATACTGCAAATGCAACTAAAAAATTTCATGCATTTTTCATATAACTTTCTGTCGTTTTCTTTTGCACTGCGTCTTGGGGGAAGAGATTTTCCACAAGAGGGATTTTCGTAACCAAAGGAAGCTGTAAAGGTGCTGTCTTAGCAGAACACTTGAAAGTCATTCCGGGTCCACAAATTGAAAGTGGCAGATGTGGTAATGTGTGCAAGGGGTCTCCCTTTCTTGATAACTTATGAAATATTTTAAAATTTTGTGAGAAACATTTTTAAGGGAATTCACGTTGAACAACTAATATATTCAAATATTTTTATATGGTATTAAAAATCATTATTTAATTATATAAAAAATATGTATTTTAAAAAAAATTAAATTACCTTAAATCCCGCTTTATTAAATCTAATTCTTTTTCTATCTTTTTTTCTTCCAGCAATTAGCAAAATAAATCAGGTAAATGCTTCCATCCACTCATCACTCATCTAATTTGAGGTCTTAAGATGTTTTTTTTACTCCCCATTTCTTTTCAACCATTTAATTGGCCAAGATTTTCATTTTCCATTCCCTTTATTTTACGCGTCAAACTCCCCAGCGCCTGCTGTGCTACTCAAGTGTGTTTTAATGAGCGAAGACGTCTCAAGCGAATGAAAAGAAAAACTTCAAAGGCCACCACGCTGCTTGCTGCTCGCTGTCTGACGGTCTGACTTTTCCTTTCGCTTTAGATTCTTGTTGAGAAAATGAAATGACTCATTTAGTTAGTGACGGCAGAGACAGACACTACAATGCGAGCAGCTTTGATTTATGTGGAGCGACACGGACTCGACTGGTGTGTAGTACGTGCTATAAAAAAAAAAAAACCAGTAGGAATGTAGCCCACACATTCAGTCCAAATTCCGACTGTGGAATACCCCTTTGGGCAGGTTTTTTGTGTTCTTGTGAGTAATGGGAAATGATCTAATGGCTATGCTGGAGAAGTGAAGCTTCTAAGAAATATTCTTAGAATAGAGAGAAGATTTGCATGCAGGAAAAAATATTAATTTATTTTAATTTAATTTTATTTGTAATAATCATTTGATTTTAATGATTTTTTATAGATGGATAGCTAGTAGCTTTATTTAGAATTCTCCTGAATTTCAGCGCTATATATTTTAAATTGTGGATGCCACAAGTTTTTCTTTATTGATTACGAAGAAATATGTAGGTCTCATTAGATATTTAAAAGATTATTTTTCTGCTGGCATAATCATAGATTCTGCAAGTCAAAGACTGTTCCTCTAGTTTCTATATAGTCTGTACTACTGAGTGTTGCTTCTGTATACAGAATATGATTTTATAGCACAAATACATCATAGCCTTTCCATTCTTCAAGTGCTGGGTATGCAAATGCAAAAGGAAAAACTTCAGTAGGCGACAGACACTGCTAGCATTTCCATTATGCCATGCAAATTCGCTCTAGACACAAGATTTATATATATTGTATATTATCTGACCATAACTATTGTCTCTATGTATCGATTGTATAGTTATGCCATTTTTAGTTTGTCCTCGTTAATCATCCATCCATTGCCTGCGTGGAGTTTATTGGCATTCGTTTTGTTGTGTCGGATTGTCGTTTTCATTAACCTTAATTAGCGTGTGCCGCTGACATTCGTCATTATCCAACATAAATGCAATTGGCCAAGTTGGCATCCCATAAATCCCCCCCCACTCTCTGTCATTCCCCCCTTCTGGTCTTCTCTGTGTCGTTGTCATGATTATCATCATTATCATCATCGTCGAATGAGAGTGACATTTTGTGGCACACGTTTTCCTCTGCTCCTCATTTTCTGTATTATTTTTTTTTTTTTTGCTGTCTTTCTGTCTTTCTGCCACCGCATTGGCATGGAGACAGGGCCACGAACGATGCGACATCGGTGGAGGAGGAGGAGGAGTCTCTGATATTGACCATGGCTCTAGCCAGTTGCTACCATCCATCCATCCATCCATCCCGTTCCCGTAGTTTGATATTGCAACTCAACAACTGGCTGACTGCCACATTGCCTGCTGCTGCTTCTGCTGCTGCTGCTGCTGTTGGTGTCAGCTGCAAATGAGTTTCTGGGCCGCCGTAAAACGTAAACGTAAAGTGGAAGAGTTAGAAATGGGATACCACAAGGCCAAAGGGGGGGCTAAGTAACGACTTTCAAATGCTCTGGTTATAGCCAGAGGAAAGTGTTTGGAGCAGTCCCAAAGTCGTTAAAGATAGATAGATTGGTAGAGGGATATTCAGAGATAGAGGGGAAATATCCGTTAACTTAAGCAGGAAAAATAAGTGTGTTTCAGCAATAAAAGCTGAGCTGTTGGATATAGCTAATGCCATGGGTTATAGGTAAATAAAAACCTAAAAAAGCCAAAATATTATGTCATACAAATATTCAATACTCAATAATATTTTACTCACCTGTTAAAAACTATAAATATATCTTAACGATAGGCATCGATTTGAGCAACTCCAAAATCAGCTGAAATATCTAAAAAAAAAAGAAGCATTTTAATATGAATTTTAATATTTTAAAATCATTAAATAGATTGCCAAAAAATTATGAAAACTACACATTTTATACTCATTAAATCGACGAATAAAAAAAATGCAAAGAATTCACTTAATTCAATTAAGATAATTGCCATAAAATAAATTAGCTTTCCCATCTTTTATCGTAGATAGTATCGATTTTTCGCATCAAATTATCTGTTAAATATCGATATGATCCATAAAAATTGTACATTTTTATTCAATTCCCATTACGCACATTCTAAATGTGCATTAAAATTAAGTCTAATTGTTCAGCTTTCAATTCCAATTCAAGTCAAAGCCATAATCAAAGGAGAAAACCACTTGCAACTTACAAAGTTGCAGTGGCACAAACCAACAACAGCCGCCGCTCCTGCTGCAGCACCACGCGATGCTTGCCTTGCTCCACCTGTTTGCACATTAATTATGCTCTGTGACTTAAGTAGCACCCCGTTCCACTGCTCATCGTTCGCTCTGCTGTTCGTTTCCCTACTCTACGTTCCTCTGCTCTCCGTGCCTCTCCGCCATGTTCGCCTTTCTATGGAGCCTACTTTAGCTAGAGCTCATTGCAATGTTTGCTTTTGCTCTATTTACCTGCCAATGACAGTGACTGCGGAAAGTATGTCGACCTATCGCTTACTCGAAGTAAACTAGTTTTGTGCGTGGCATTCGCCTTGCAATTCTCCAGTGACTTTGAACTGAATAAAGTGTTAATCGTTTGCTTTGATTTAAACCAAAACTCAATTACAACTAAAACCAAAAAAAAAACTGACTGAATCGGAAATTTTAACGTGGGATTTGTATGTGAACTGCTGAGGGATTCTGGGGGCGCAAAACTTTCACGTAACTCATTTGTCAAAATGCAAAAACAAATCAGCATTTGTTTTTTTTTCTTCTCTTTTTGCACTGCTTATTTGTTGTTTATGGTTTCTCTGCCTTTGCTGTTTGTCACGTTCTTGGTTTGTTTTTGTTTTATTTGCATTGCCTTTTTCTTTTTTTTTTTGCTTCCTACAAAACACGGACAACGGGAGAGATGGGTGTCCCGCTCTCTCTATGGGTCTCTGGCCTGGGGGCCTGCCTGTCAATAAAGTTCTTGACACCTTTACTTCATTTGCCCACAGATTTCTCTTGACATGACTTTTCGTTTGCTTTCTTCTGGACACAAGAGCAGAGTGTGTGGGATGGCGGGGAAATAAGTCATTGAAATGTTCTTAAGCACTTTTTGGCAAAAAATAATAATTATTATATTAAAGAGAAATCTAAGAGTTTTTTTTTTTTTGTTTTTTCTCCTCAACTAAATCCCCTCCAAGTCTTGAACACTAAAATGCCCCTCATTTCTTGATTTCCCCATAAACAAACAACAAAACTGCCCCTCCTGCCCGATCTTATTAAATATTCATAATAGTTTGTACAACATTCGAGAGGCATTGTTTGCATTTTACGGATAAAAACATAAAAATCATCATTTGCCTTCAATTTGCAGCACAAACTAATTGCAAATGTCTGTGTGGCACAAGCAAACAAAAGGCACCCCGAACGACCTTTACAAATCTACACATTGTACGTGGCACAAACGTAGATTTTTATTTTTATTTATTTTTTTGTTTTTTTTTTCTTCTATTGGATGAAAAATTTAATTGTGCAAAACAAAAGTTGTGCCTTCCTCGGACTACTGGCTAGCTGGCACTGTGACCTGTGGGTTTAGGTTTGAGCTACCCTTTAAAGGGGGTATTACGATTTTATAGGGAGTTTGGAAAGGTTATATAAGTATTTCTATGGATATTACTTGGTGCTGCAAGCAATATATCATTATTTAAAGCTCCAATCGGTTTACAATCGGTTGAAATAAAATCTTGTCATTATAGAAATTTATTTCCACCCGTAACCAAAGCTTCGTTTATCTAAAAACTATCCTTCCTTACCTTAAAAAAATGTATTTCAATATTGAATCCATAGAATCTTCCTACTGCTTGCAATATAACTGCAGATAAATCTTAAATGGCTCAAAAATATTTATAAAATCTATGAAAGTGTATCTAAAGCTTCGTCTTTGCAAAAGCAAGCCTTTTCTTGTCTTGTTTGCATTACAAACGCTTAATTGCTTTTGACTTTTGTGTTGGCTGTTGTCTACTAGCTAGCTGCCTGGGCTGTTGCTTTCCTGTCTTTCCGTTTGGCTGTTTGTTGAACTCTCAAGGTAACCAGAAGTGCCACCTCGCCTCCTCCTCATTGCTGGCTACTTAATTTCTACGTTAAAAAAAAAGAACCAAATAAAATGTCTAAGATTGCGATTATCTTTTTAATAACATTGCGAGGCAAACGAAATTCCCAGCACAACACACAGCAAAAACAAAAAAAGTGGTGCTGGTAAAGTGGAAATAAAAAGAAATTACTTAAGTCACGAATTTAATTACCACGCATCTACGATAACGCGCCTCCAAATTAAGCGATACAATTGAGGGAGGCCAACAATTGTTGCAAAGCAAATTAAGTTTCAAGATTGGTTGGCAAGTGATTTTTTTCTTATTTAATTTCCGAAGATAGATAGAAGAGTTTTCAAAGATGTACAATATATGGAAGGTCAGCAACGATCAAATGAATCGGGCAAAATTGTATATCTTTTGGTCGGTATTTTGGAATATTTGTATGTTTATTATTCTTCCATAAATCCACTCAATTAATTACCAAAAAAATATACAAATAATCCAGCTAAAAACATTAATTGTGCAGGCCGAATTTCCTTTGTAGTTTCTGTTGTTTTTCTTTAAATCTCTGCTTGTTTATACAAATCCCTTCATAGCTGCTGTCTAAAATAAATTCAATTTTAAATACATTTCCTTAGTATAGTTTTTCCGCATGCCTGGCTATCAAAAGGCATGTCTGACCCACTGCGATCTACACGGCCCCTCCACTGCCCCTCAGCCAACACATTCTGTTTTGTGCGTTTTGCTCTGAATATTTTCATGGTCCTCCCCCACCCAGACACAGACCCAGACCCAATGATGACGTGCAGGTTTATTTGTTTCTAAATCTCATCCACCGCATCATGATGTCTGGGGGTTACACTTCCCCCAAACAAACAAACAAAAGCTAAGAAAACTGACTAAAAATAGATGTGCAAAATATATACGTATAAAATTGAATCAAATTCATTTTATATAGCTATGTACATATAAACCAAAACATTAAGCGAAACGAAACTCAAGCGGAAACCGTAGCGAAACCAAAAGGCATTATAAACACTGTCAAGCCAACAGGCAATAGAATAATTTTCAAGTAAATTAAAATGTCTTCAGCATGCAACACAATTTTCCTTTCGCACAGCTTCTTGTTTTTATATGCTATTATATTTTGGGGTGCTAAGAATATTACTTATTGCTGCTGTGTGGTCGAAAGTGCACTGCATGAAAATAATTGGATTTTATAATTGCTTGAGTGCATTTTAGGGTGTATATTTCGTGTGTGTGCGCCATAATTGCATTGGCAGAGCATTGAAAGCAGCTCAATGGATTGTGTGGTTATTTTTAATATATATATTATAAATTGGAATTAGTATTTATTTATTTATTTGTTCAGATGTGCAATAGATATTGTGCGTGAATTTTAAAATGTTTTAAATTGATTCAAAAGCACTTTAGAATGGCCCTAATTGTGTTCTGTTGGAAAGAAGTTTACAGCAGCTAAAAATAGCTATAAAAGTAGCTTACAAAATAAGCTCATTAGAGACACAATTATATACATTTCTTTTTGTAATGTACCCACTGCTGAAATTGGTTTTTACAACGCTCTAAATATTTAACAAAAAGTCCCTAAAAACTATGCATAATGTTTTAAATATTACCAGCTGACATTATACATAAATATTTTAGAAAAATATGCTCTATGGCACTTAAATAACCCCTCAATATTAGCATTAATCTTACTCTTGTCAGCCATTATTCCCTACCAAAGGTTCCCCACTTTAAAATTATTTATAATATTACTCTTATCAGATTGATGAAAATTTATATCATTTGTTTATAGAAAATCATACAATTTCATTGATTTAAATTTTCTTCAAAATGTTGCAGCTGTTGCAAATAATTTTTTTAATAGACTCTTAATTCATCTTGCCGCCGTCGGCTGTCTGAATATATGGCTTCGGCTCCTGGCCCTGATGCTGATGCAGTGTCTTGGGTTGATTTGGTGTCTGGACTTGACCCTCTTGATAGCCTGGCTGGACAAAGGCATGCTGCGGCACCTGCGTCGGCTGCTCCGGTTGTTGGTGCATCTGTGGCCCAATGGGCTTGGGCTCTGGTACAACGATGTGCTCGTGGTCTTCCTCGTTCTCCTCGTCATCATTCACAACGTCCTCCAGAGCTTGGTCCCTGGGTTTCTTGAGCAGAAAGCGCGTATGGGGATACTGTTTCGTTTCCAGCTCCAGTCGATCAATCAGCCAGCCCTTCTCCCGATTATTGGTGGCCCAAAAGAAGACGGTGCCCTTGTCCTTGGTGCCATTAACGGAGACCTGCAACTGTGCCCGTTGCCCGTCGCAGACATTCTTGGTGTTTGTCAAACTAAAGCCGGACTCCCTGATGGGTTCCCCGAGCAGACGTACAGCACCGCCATGCTGGCGCAGCGTTTTAATGGCCAGCTGATAGTAGTCCGCCTGACGCACCCGATCCTCGAGTTTCCAGTGGAGGTAGGCCAATCCCGAGATGGAGGCCATAGCTCCACAAACACACAGATTGGCCAACAACCGCCGCGAGGGCAGGATTAGGCGCATCTTAAAGGTCGGCATCGCTTTGAATTTAGTCAAAAAAGCCAAAAGCATTAAACAGGCTAACGAAATATATTGTTTGTGTTTTTGTGTAGTCAGAGACTGACTGGGATTTCAAATCGAACTTCTACTGAAAGTTTTCCTTCCTAGTTTTTCGCCAGTTCCCATAACCAAGCCTTGAAATTCATCGCAAAGCCAGGCAGGCAGGCAGGCAGGCAGGCTGGCAGGCAGGAGCTGCCTTCAGCTAATTGAGGTTGTAGCTTCTGCTGCCGCCGCTGCTGCTTTTGCTTCTTCTTTTGGCCAACTTAAAAATTGCTGGCCCGAACCGCAGCACAAAGCCGCCAGAACGCAGCAGCAGCAGGCAGCAGCAATCGGCGGCGGGCAGTCGTTCAATTTTGATGCCGCCACCCAAAAGGCGTGGACAACAAAACGCTCGCCTCTCCCAAGTGGAATCCAGAGGAAAAGAAAAAAAAGAACAATCTGAGAAAACTCGTTTCGATTCGTATAGCTGTACATAGGAGTTGCCTCTTTTTTTGTCTCTTTCTTTTTCTTTTCTTTTGGTTTGTGGGCCAAACAAGCGGCGCCATTAATGACAGCCCCCGACAGAGTCCAAAAGAGTGACCCGTCCGTCCATGTGGCTGTTGGATGGATAGACCAGCTGAATGGCTTTTCGCCAGGCAAAAGAATATTTCAATAATTCTGATCAAAATCTTACGTGATAAGGCTTCATTGAGTGGATCATCTGAATGCACGAAGCGGCGATCCAATGCCTACTTTAGGCAGCCGCCTCGTTTGGTATTCGACGGCGGAGAATGCCTAGAAGATGGACAGAAAGATACATATTGTTAGAACTGATTAAAATGTTATGCAAGGGGCACACCACATGTGACCCTTTCTTCAAGAAACTATGGCTTAATTTATTTACATAATGCTGATTAAAAAAGAAGCTGGAAAAGCGTTGGGAAAGGCAAGCAGAGCATAATAATTCAGACATTTTAGGAGACAGAGAATAGCAGCAAAAGATCTACTGGAACCACAAAGAGTGCATCTGCTAATGAATCTGCTGGGATTGGTCAGGGAAGCACAACAAAAATACCTTCTAGGATATACAAAATGAAACTATAAATCTGCTAAAGAGCAACTAAAATTCCTCCTCAAGCCCCCGTCTCCTTTTTCATCTCATTATAGTTGTACGTAGAGTGTGGCATCTATTTTTACTAGCCTTTTGCTTGCAGCCCAGTCCAGTGTACAGTGCAGCGTGTCCAATGAGTGTCCATTTAGGGTGGTGCAGCGGTGTTGGCTGGTGTTGCGTCCAATGGTTATTTAAAAATAGTTTTCCCCACAACCTCCCGTCATCGATGGAGAACTCTCGCATATCTTGCACACATCTCACTGGATCGGTAATCGATAGGCAGCCATGCAACGCCTGTCACGGCCACGGGAACGGGCAGTAACGCAGCGGTACGGAATATTGCAGCTCTGATAGGATGAGACTTTTGCGTCGTGCCCTAATCTATCAAATGCATCTTTGGGTTTGAATATCTTTGTGGTCTTCTTCTGCTGTTCGCTGGCTGGCTGGCTGGCTGGCTGGCCCGCAGTTGGATGCGATGTTACATTTTTGGCCTAAGTGGCCTCTTGCGTGTCTGTATTTATCGCCAAGCGGAGATCATGACGCTGACGCTGACGCTGACTCTGAGACTCTTCAGCTTGCTGCGTGCTGGCGCAGATTCCTCTTCCTGTGACAATTTCTGTGTGCCGTTTCTTAAGTCTTCATCTCATTAAAGGTCTCGCGCGCTGTCACTTTAAGACCATTTTGGTTTGAGGCTTATCTACGGCCAGTCTTTCATTTCTAAGTGCCCGCCGCCATATGTTTAACATGATTTTGATGTGCCAGGGGGTAAAACGCGAAGCCACAAGGTCTTTTCTTTCTATAAATCAAACTGCCAATACGGAAGAGAAGGCACATACAACAAAAAAAAAAAACCATCTTTAAGTACGTTTTATTCCACGTTCTGTGGCATGCAGCAGCAGTGGCAGCAGCAGCACAGGTGCTCAGGTGTTACAGGTGCTCGCTGGGCCATAAATATTCTTATAACTAACCATTAACTGTTTAACGGTAGTTGGTGCTACAAATTGATTTTGAATTTCGAAGCTCATCTGGTTGCTCTTTGGCTGTGATTATAGGCCTCGAGTCCAGTTAGTTGAGATCGTGACCAGGCTGATCATGAAATTATATGGATTAATTCTAATCACATATCACACACACATGTGTGTGCAATCATTTCATTATTACCAAACAGATTGTTATCGGGAGTCTCACTCTCGTTAATTTCATTATTGAATATTATAATGACTCATTCGATTATGAATCAATCAAGCACAGAGGCTGGGCTACTATTTTTGGTTCTATGAGCTGCAAGAGACTCTCCCTAAATTGTGACTAATTTCTGTACAACTTGAGATAATTTTTGTCGCTGATTTCTGTGAAACTTCTCAGCGGTTTTTGGCATAGAAAATTCCTAGGAATAGCAACTAAAAAACCGTAAAAATAATTAATTACATTTCCTTTGCGTGTAAAAATTATGATGACAGCGACACAGCAAAACAATTTATCAATATTTCTTTAATGACAATAAAAGTCTGTTTGTTTTATTTATATTCTTGTTTTTTTTTTTTATTTTTTTATGAAGCGCCAAGGCTTTTTAATTAGTTTTATGCTACAAGCGAGTAAATGAAGCGCAGCATAAATTAAGTTTACGAACGGCTAAGGGGGTACGGGAGGGAGGTCAGGGCCCTATGGCAGAGAAGAGCCATAAAAAAAAAAAAAAACTGGTTGCCAGAAGATGAGAAATGCAATTGAGCACACACAACAATACAACACAGTGCCCGCAAATAAGTAATGGACTTTAGTTCTATCTCTCTCTCTCTCCCTCTCTGTCTCTCTCTCTCTTTATTAGTTTACACGATTTACTCATCGTTTTTAATAAGTTTTTCTTGAATCAAATGCTTTTCCAATTGCGTCATAAATGATTTTGAATTAGCATAAAATTCTTGATGATGGGCTTGGGGTCAGCCATCCATCCATCCATCCTCAAGGTATTCCTCGAGCGCTGCTTCCTCAAAAGCTGTATGAACCGACAGGGCCTTCAAGGCCCACTAACTAAATTACCCATTTGCCTACCCCAACCCCAAAAAATATAAGAAACCTTTAAAAAACCATAAATTATATAAATATACCAAAAATGTTCAGGCAAAGGGGGTTAAGTTAGTCAATCTATCGTTCAATCAGTCAAGCAGTCAGTCGCTCAATCAGTCAGGCGTTCAGTCGGCTTGCGGCTATTATTTTCAATAAAACATAAAATAAATATGGCAAATTGAAGTGCGGGCCAAAACATTAACAGCCAGCGGCAAATACACAAAATACGAAATAAAGAAAAGAAGTTGGGGAACACGAAGCTGTGGATACCCTCAAAAAAAATCTTTGCTATGGCATTTACATATATTTAATAAGTAATAATAGATAAAATTTATTGAAATTAAATAAAAGTTAAACTAAATTTAACTACAGCTAGTAAAAGAGATTATCTTTTGGGAGCAGAAAAGAAAAAAAAGGTTTTTGGAAAAAATTTCCTATGTCTGATTTCCTATTACCTATAAATGGTATGTTTTATTTTTATTTATTTATTTTTTTTTTTTTTTATTTATTTATTTATTTTTTTATATATATTTTTTATTATTTGTTTATTTTTATATAAAACAGCAATTACTAAGCTTCTTTGGGCTTATCTTTAGAAGCAAGGAATTTATTTTTACAAAGACTTCTCGTAGGACACCATAATAAAATATGAATTCTAATTTGTACACTGTAGAAAATTCTATCGATAGTTACAGCATTTTAATTTTGAAACTTTGAAACTATTTTGCATAGAAAAAGAATGTCTAAAATTTCTATATCGACACGTTTTTTGTAACTGTTCCAAAATATATGGGAAATAAGCTAAGAAGTCAGCACCAACATTTTCACACACATTCATTATACCCCTCTGCTTAAAGGGTATCAGACGAAAAAAAAACTATCAAAAGAAGAGGAGGCACACAGCAAACGCAGTGCGCATGCGCAACACGCAATGCCAAAAGAGAAGCCGCAATCGAAGTCTCAGCCGCAGTCGAAGTCGAAGTCGCAGCCGCAAAGCCGCAGTCCGAATCGGAGCCGAAGAAGGCCCCAGCCTCCCCTGCCCCTGGCCAAAGTCGTTGCTGAGGCTCTGGCCACAGCCAAAGCCAAGGTTGTTGTTGTTTTTGTAATTGCTTGTCTCTCAAGTACAGCCATCGTCTGTGAGTAATGTTAGCGCCATAAATAGAGAAAAACACAGAAAGAGCGAGAGCGACGAAGAGGGGGAGAGCGCTGGGACAGGGGACAGGCGACAGAGCAGAGGAGGAGGCAGGGAGGAGGATGCCAAGACGAAGCCTGGAACGAACTTATGTTTAATTGCAAGTTGTAAAAATCTTTTAGGGTGGAGCCTAATCACCAAAGCCGAAAAAAATACAGAAAAAAAAAACAAAAAACTTACAGGGAAGTCAATTGAAGGCCAGCCAGCAGACAAAACAAGCAATGGGAAAGATGTGTCCGGAGTCCGGACGAAGCGGAGTTCTCTGTCTCTCGGCGTGGAGTGGGGTAAAACGGGGCAAAAGATCTCTGGGGAACAGAGAAAAAACATCAGAGAAGAACTGCAAAGCTGCAAAGAGAGACATGCGACACATGTTCTTCATATGTAGGATAATTGTGGAGAGAAACCAACCCAAACCACAGAGTCAGGGTCATGGCAGATCAATTGGTGTGGAGGCTACACGCTGTGCAGTTAATGCTGCAGCAGTTGGAGTACTTTTCAATTAAAAGAGAAATGTATTTGCACAGCCTTTTAGTTGCCATTTAAATTACAATTGGTGTGCGAGCTTTGATAGACTTTCCAGCTATTAATTTGAATAATTTACTCAACATAGTTAGCACATATTTTTAACCATAATAAAATCATAACTTATGCTGCTTTTAATCTAATAATTTGCATGCCCTTTCGAAGAGAACTCACTTGCGTTACGCATGCCCTGCCATATGGTTGCA